AACAAATTCTTAATATTATTACTGTTGATCATTTGATCATTAGAAGTGTTGATTATGTGACTGATACAAATGTATGGGTTTGAAATGTTGAGTTGCCACTAATTTGAATAAAAACACAGTATAAATAAAGCTGCATTTATTATTTGTTTGTTGAAAGAGACTGAATCAATATAAAATGCAAAACTAAGAGCTAAAAAGCTCTGATTTAACCATCTTTATTTACAAAATACTGAATGATGTAAGGACTTCACTGCCCACTCTTTGAAATAACTATATTATTCCAGACTCATAAACTTCTTTACCAAACACAATGAGTAAAAGTCAAATTGGATTTATACCAAAACACCACACTTCAGATCATATTCCGCTGCCTTCACTGGCTTCCGGTAACTGCTAGAATCCACTTCAAGACACTGGTACTTGCTTACCGTGCTGCGAATGGATCTGGCCCTTCCTACATCCAGGACATGGTTAAACCGTACACCCCAGCGCGTGCACTACGCTCTGCATCAGCCAAACGACTCGTTGCGCCCTCGCTGCGAGGGGGACCCAAGTTCCCATCGGCGAAAACACGTGGGTTTGCTGTCCTGGCTCCAAGATGGTGGAATGAGCTCCCCATTGACATCAGGACGGCAGATAGCTTGCACATCTTCCGGCGCAAACTGAAAACTCATCTCTTTCGACTCCACTTCAAGCGTTAGAACTATTAACGAAGCACTTTTATACTAACAAAGGACTGGCTTACCTAAAGCCAGTTGAGTAGCACTTGAAATGTTTGGCTCTATGAAACCTGATGTACTTATATGATTCTGTTTTCTTCAAGGTTGTGTCTTCCTGGTCGAATGTACTTATTGTAAGTCGCTTTGGATAAAAGCGTCAGCTAAATGCAATGTAATGTAATGTAATATTGACACCCTACACACCTTACCAAACACATGACACCTGCCAAAACAATGACCAGATATTTGCATGCTTCATAGATTTCCAAAAGGCTTTGCATTCTATTTGGCACAATGGTCTTTTTTACAAAGTTATAACATGGTAAAACATGACATAATTAAATAAGTGCGCTATAAAAAATTGGCGAAATGTGGCGTTACCATGCAAAACGCATCCCTCGCCATAAAACAACTCAAAGGAAAATCGTCCAAACAGCACCAGACTTCAGATGATGGTTAATGGTCCGGACCTCAACATGTCTATGTGCCACTTGTGAGTTTTCCTCAAAAGCCGTTGCCATGACAATGCATCCCTCGCCGTTAAACAGGATATTGCTATACCTCCTCTGAAAATTGTCATAATTTGGTCAAACTTCACATGTGTGCTAACAGTCCAGCCCATAAGACATATAAGTTTAATTTTTTTGATTTTGTCGAATGCAGTTGCCATGGCAACACATTGCTCACCATGAAACACGGTTTTCTCATAACTCCAGTGAACATCCTCCAAACGGCCCAAAACTTCACATGATTGATAACAATGCAGACCTCAAGTCATCTAAGCCTATTTTGGGGTGTCATCATATGCCGTTGCCATGGCGACAGATCGATCGCCATTGAACATGCTCCAAAACGGCCCAAAACTTCACGTTTGATGATGATGCAGCCCTCAAGACATCTAAGTGTCCGGCGCCGTGGGAGGGCCAGGCCCTCCCACGTGACATTCCTGCCCTCCCCAATAAACACGTTTTTTATTATTTATAAAAATTAAAAAATATATTTATATATATTTTTTTTAATTATAAACGGTGAACTTTTATGCTACGATGTATGTGATGTCAGATAGTAACTAAAACAAAAAATCGCAGGCTACGTCAAATAAATGCATGTGTCTGTTGTGATTTGTGATTCGTCCACATTTAGACCAATCACAGCGTCACACTCTGCCGTCTATTCTGGATTTGTTTATTGTGCATTCTGTAGACTCCCATTTCTGTTTTGAATTACAAAATGGACATCAGAAATTGGCTGAAAAGGTCTAAGGACGAAATAGCGATGAAAGAACTGCAGCCGATGGTGCTGCTGGCGACCCTGCACCTGCCGTTGCAGCAGCACGCCTTAATGTCACAAGCTTGACCTCGGCAAACCCCGGGGCTGAGATAGCGAGCCCAAGCCTTGACTCATCAAGGCGGCCGCCACCAACGCTGTCCTCCGAGGCACAGCTCCTTGTGCCCCTACCATCACCACCTGCGTTGCCACACCCTGTACCACACCCGCCAGCATCCTCCTCCTCCGTGCCGGTGCCTCCACTACAGACGCTACCTTGCAGCACATCAACAGGTACTATTGGGCCAGCAACCGCTCAAAGACCAACAGCCCCAGATGATCTTGGGGTTAATAAACCCAACCAGGTGAAACTGGATCGTTATCCAGGGAGATTGTTTTCAGGAAAGAAGCGCACTTTTGCCGCTGCATGGTACACAACAGACCATGGCTTGAAGATTCGTTAAAAGCAGACGCAGCCTTTTGTTTCCCCTGTAGACAGTTTAAAGTCAATACGTCTTCATCTGATGCGGCTTTTACTGTCAAAGGTTTTTGCGACTGGAAACACGCATTACAGACTGATAAAGGACTGCTAAGGCATGCCGCATCAAAAGAACACATTTCATGTGAGAGTTTGTGGAGAGAGAGAGAGAGAGAGAGAGAGATACGCGAGGAAACAAATAAGGACATGAGTACTGCAGATCAGCTGGCACGGAGCCGTTATTACGTGTCAGCTGTCATTGATATTATAGCTTTTTTAGCTGTCAACCAACTCCCTCTCAGAGGTGACTCGATTCACTCCACAGCATGTCCGACTCAGGCAGTGGGCTCTTCCTGTCGCTGTTTGAGTATACGCTGCAGTACAAAGATGCAGAGTTGGCCAAAATAATGGAAAGCATTCCCCACACAGCAACATACACCTCTCACGACATGCACAATGCCATAATAGAGCTAACAGCAGTTCATCGTCTCCGTCTCACTATTTATCTCCGAGTGCAACGATGAGGAAGCTGCCATCCTTAACCAGTGTGCCTTGCTTGTGATTTACAGTGCCTGTGCTGCCATGCACACAATGTTTCAAAAGTGGTTTATGTTGCCCTTTATTTGTGTATGTTTGCGATAAGTGTGCGTCTTTACGCAATGCCGTTGGCCTTGCTGTTTGATATATATTGTTCCGCAGGCCCGCAGCACGTGACGGTTTTGTGTGCCCTCCCATGAAAATCATATGCCTTCCCTTTAGATTTGTTCTGGCGCCGGGTCTAAGACTATTATGTGGTGTCATCAAATGCTGTTGCCATGGTGACAGATCACTCGCCATCAAACACAATGTTTATTTTACTGCTGTACCTCAATTGTCCGATCGGCTTGAAACTTCCCATGTTTGCTAACGGCCGAGTCCGGAAACATCTGTTGACGTGCAGACAACAGCGAAACTGCGTGGAGCGTCGAAGACCCGCTCATCGCTGCTCGCAGCTTTAATTTATCTTAAGATTAATTTAATTGGTATGCAATTGGATTTTTTTAGTCCAAAAACACGTTTATGATACCTACACATTTTGCTTAGCATTATAACACCAATTTATGATTTTTGAATGGTTAATGCAGTATAAAATGAACGAATAAATGAACTATAGAGGCTTTGCATATGACGTCACGGGTAACGTGACGTCATATGCAAAGCCTCTATAGCACGGTTACATGAATTAACGTCACCACTGCTAAGCTAAAGGCGGCTAATGCTGGCGTCGTCTAATTTAGACACTGTTTTCATGACACATAGAAGCTTGACCAGTGTGTACTGGTATTTACTGACGTATTTCATGTCATAGAACTCTTTATTTCTAAACTAACCAAAAACTCATCCAAGAAGTACTAAAATGCTGACTCATTCCTGGATTACTCTTTTGTTGATGGCAACAAGATAAATATGCACATTCTGTCTTCAATATAGGACTTACATTTCACTAACTTGTTTAATTGAATATAACCTTTTTTTTCAAGCGATTGCTTTTTTTTCTCACAAGGTTTAGATAAGATGGAGAGGATACCTCAAAGAACTTCCCTCAATACATTTAAAAAAAGTTGCTGTATATATTTTGAATATATTTCAATTAATGCCGTCACAAAATTATCGCGTTAACGGTGGTAATTACTTTTTTTAATTAATTGCGTTAAAATATTTAACGCATTTAGCGCATGTGCAGAATGGCCCACCCCATACATCCCACCAGTGGCAGCGCCTGGGTATGGCTGGGGTAGGCTACACCCATACCATGAAAAATGATGTTAAAGGAAGCAAAATAAAGTCCCCCAACTCGCGCCGAGAATTGCACAGACAGCAGAAGATTGATTTCAGTAGCCACTTGTCTGGAAATACTTTAGACTAGAAACGGTTTCGAAAACTTTTGTCACGTAGTGATCGTCTTCTCAATAGAACATCTTTGATAATGTCTTCTGGCCAATCAGAATCACGATAACGGCGTGGTGTTGTTGCAGGAAGTCCCGACGGAGAATACTTTTGCTGTAGTACATCTCTATATACATCGATACAACATTACGTGTTGATAGAAATCAACACGTAATGAAATGAGACCCCACGGTTTGATGATTGATAGGTGTGTGGGCTGTCTTTCATTTTGACACACAGAACAATGTTATAATAAACATACATAGGCTACATACTGTATGTTAAATGGATATATCCGCCTTCTTTCATGTATCTTTCCATTCCCACAACAATATACATAAAGAAATGGCATATTTTGGACATAGTTCGAATGGTGATTAATCATGATTAATTAATTTTTAAACTGTGATTAATCTGATTAAAAATTGTAATCGTTTGACAGCCCTAATTTCAATACAATCTTATTTACTGTATATATAATTCATTTTTTATATTAAAACCATTCTCAGTCCTAATTTATTCATCTAACTTGGCCAAAAGCACTAGCAGCACAAACTACTGTGATAATACAGTTGATGAAATAATAACAGCAGAAAATAATTGGCATGAAACATCTTAATAAAATAGATTTATTAACAGGTTAAAGTGGATCTGAATATTTAAAAGTGCAACATGTATATATTGACATAATTAAAAAATACAAGTTAGATTATCTCAAAAATTACTATCAACATAAATGTGGAAAAAGGCAACCAGTTCACGAGTAAAGCAAACAGACAGACGTCACTAAACACACCTGGTCTCACAGAAGCTTGTTGGCAGCAATACTTCTGACCGTGTGCAAAACCAGCCGTGGAATCACAGTATTTACATCTTCATAAACGCATCCAATAAAGTCTTCCATTAGTAGATTTGGATATGATATATATTTCAGCGAGAGGCTTGTTTGTGCATATTTATAACAGGTTTTTTATAAAATGTTATCCCAAAACTCCACATGCAGTACAATACAAAATGCAAACATAACTTTACAATGATGCATAACAATGATAATGTGCTTCTGTTGAAGGTTTGATGTAGGGCTGTTTAAATTGGGCACATCAGTGTTTAACTGGACCGGGTTGTTTCAAATCATCTTTCTAAATAACAACTTATAGTACCATTTTTTCCACATCCCCGTTACCTGTTTACTCCAATAACTTGTATTAGTGAAACTCTTTGGTTCCTTTTAGTTCTATTTTGAATACATTATACTTTTTGATCTCAGTATGTTTTCATTGTTTAGTGCATAAGTCTCCATCTTTTACTTAATTTAGCCTTTGTTTGTTACCTGAAGTTGAATTGACTGATAATAAGCCATCTCTCAGATATCTTTGGCATTTTTAGATGTATGGCACAACTGCTATGTGTAGGGCTACTAACAATGATGAATGTCATCATTGATTGATACATTTATTTTCTCTTGCAATGTATTTGATGAATTATTCAATGTATAAAATGACGAATAAATTGTGTGATGGGTAACGTCTTCAAATGTCCTATCTGCCCGACCTACAGTCCCAACATCACATGGGCAGTGCACATGAAACAGGAAGAAGCCTCACAGTAACTTGGGTTCATTCTGAGCTGATTGACTCTTTGAACAAGATGGTTGCTTATGAATATGTTACAAAATAACAAATATTCAAGGTATTACAATTGGAAGCAAGCAACAGCAATATAAAGTGTGACAGAGTCCTTACACAGCATAACAGCTGACACAATTAACTTACAACGAGTTTAGCTTTGCCATTTTAGGACAGTCTCAGGGAGTCTTGTAAATTAAAATGACATCTGTTAGAAGGTTCTGTAGTGTGAGATGAACTACATTTAGAGAACGGACTACAACTGTAACATAAATGAGAGCCTGCATATTTTTACAGGTTAATTCCTTTTTGTTTGATTGGGTTATCCAACAGAATTTCATCGGTTTCCTACAACATTTGAGCAAATAATTATAGGTGGATGTAGGGGGAAATAACTTTTTCTTTGTCCGAAACCTTTTCTATATTTATAAAACCAAACAGCCCGTTCTATTAACAGGGATAGAATTGATTAATATTTATTACATTTTTGGGTCAATTTCCAGGAAATTAGAAGAAAAGGAGGCCTGAGGAATGACGCGTTATCTGCCTGCCTATATTCATTTTTAGGAAAACAAGTGGAATTGATCAATGCAATGAACACTGTGTAGTGTCTATAATAAAGAATGCGGTTCTCTTTTGTATGTTTGAGTCTATGTACAAGTTAATCTCATTCACACCACGTTGTGCTGTTGTACTTCAGTAGCTTTAGGTCGGTATGAACTATGGTCACTATCAGTTTGGTTCATACATAAAGCTTCAATTTAAAGACACCAACATGTGGAATAGCCACATGTATTAACTGTATGAATCTCTTGCTGACATAAATAATGTCCTTGTTCACATTTAAAAAAAAAGAAATAATTGTAAAGAAATGGCCTGAATCCCATAAATATGAACTGAAAAATATCATCCTTCATTATATTTATCTGACCATACAGTAATTAATTAAGGCAAATATATGAGAACATCAAAATCATTGTGAGGTAAGATTACTGTCAAGTCCAATGTCACAAAATCAGGAAGTGTAGATTCAAACTGATTAAAAAGGGAGTTGATCAAAAGGAAACATATGAGAAACCTGTGATAAAACGATCTGTTACAGGAACCTCTGCAGTGTCAGTCGGGTGGAAGCGGTGAAGACAGCTGTGCAAAAACTCCAACACGTCAGGGTCCGCCCCAACGGAGCCTCGTGTGTCCTCTTGGTCCCTCACTGTCAGTGTGTCTGTGAGCTGTGGGTTAGGGTTAGTGCTCTTTGTGTTTGCTGTGGAATCTCTCCAGCAGGGCTCTCAGGATGTTCCCCGGGATCTGCTGGTGCTGGTCTATCAGAGCCTGCACCGCCTGCTGCACCTGCAGAGCAACAGAGCTGTGAGTGACACATTTGCAAAGTACAGGAACTCACAGGACTACGGTGGCCGACAGGTGCAAAACGTGCTACAGCGGCCCAAAATACTTCCATTAAGAGAAACGCGCTGAAGCTTCAGTAACTATGCAAATATAAAAACACAAATCTGCCAAAACACATGCAAATAAAAAACATGTTAACCAACTTGACAAGACATGCTCAGTATTTAGAAAACATTCACCAACTTGAGGAAACATGAGCAATTGCATCGTTTCGTTTATGCAGTGCTTTTAGTAAAGGCTGCGAATGTGTTGTCAAGTTGGTGAAGATGCTTTTCATTTGCCGTGTATCATTCCCTCTGTCTGGCTGTTTCTTACAACAAAAGCACTTGTTACCCAGGAAATTATCATGGACTGAAAAGGGCCCATGCTCTGAAGAGATATTACACAGGAAGATAGAAAGAAAGACCACAGCTTGAGCTCACTGACTTTCTGTGCCAGCTCTGCAGCGTTAACATCGGGTTCGTAAGGAATGGGATCCCCGAGGAAGGTCCTGAACTTCACAGGAAATCCTCCGTACACAGGAGCTGCAGGGAGGCGGAACCTCTCGTACAGCCAGCGGAAAAATCCTGAATGACAAAAGAGAGATGAAAGATGTTTCACAACACTCTCCATACATCCAAAAAACATCTAAAAGCAACATGTGTGTAAGGAATGTCATGTGCTGTGTCTGTGTGTCCATCAGTGAGACCATCATCTTGGGGGTGCTATCTTAACTTGACTTTCTTCTACACTTACTGAGTGTTCCCAGAGATCTGAAGCCTTCCCGCACATTCTGAGTAAACATTGGAATTATAGGCTGAAAGAAAGACAGACAGAGAGAGAGAGAGGATTAGAGAGGAGGGCTTCCTAAACTGCAGAACTCTGACATGGATAAAAAGATGCTACAATAACACGGAGCATCGACATTTGTTGAATTTGATAAATCTGTCATTGTTGAAACTGTAGCATTCCGGGTCGTTTTCTGACTAAATGAGTTGCACATCCACACGTTTTAATCTGGCTTTAAGTGTGACAATTTGGAGACGGTACTATAGTCTCATTTAAGATGGGTGACGCTTCTTAAATGTGTGTGTGTGACCTACAGTGTTTTGTACGAGCCAGAACTTTATAATCTAATACCTAGTATTTAGTCCGCAACAATCAATTTTGATTGTTATTGTTAAAAATGAAAGATTATCCAAAACATTTATAGAATTGAAAAGTGAATTTTCCTTTGTTGGCAATTTTCAGTTAAGTTGATAAGCAAATAAAATGTTGTGTACTGTATTAAATGACAAACAATAAATAAACGGGGCAGGAATGAGCCTTCAGCCTGGAAAGGAGTTGGCATGTTACTGCGCTTCTTCAACGGGTTTTTAGTTTCCTGAAATATTCATGAAACTAGGTCTGTGGTTAAACAAGAAAAAAAACGTTTGTCCTACAACATAAAATACGTCAGTAAATGCCCAAATTAAATGAATTTAATTCATTAATTTAATTAAATTAAGTACATTTACCCAGTAAATGGTGAATGTCTGAAGCTTCGATGTGTAATAAAAACAGTGGTTGCTGTGTCTAAATGAGACGACTAAATGTCATCACGCCGAACATTAGCCGCCTTTAGCTAAGCGGGGGTGAAGTGCGGCCATGTGACTGATGTAGATTGTTTATAGCCTAATGTTAGCTTTTTACTTCTGACTCCTGCATTAACCCTTAAAAAACGTAACAGTGGTTTAACCAAGGACAACAGTTGAAAATTAGCCTGCTGGCTAATACTGGCTCATTTACAGCAATGTGGATTAATGTGCACTGTCCTTTAAATAAATAAACAAACAAAACAAACAAACAAAACTATGTGGATATTATCCTGGTGAGCAAAACGTGTAAGCACCTACGTATTGTTGGCCTACGACAATATGTTTTTACTGCACCACTCTATAGAGACACACTGTATGTAATGTCACATCACTTGACATTTAGAATATGAATGTATTTGGAAATGTTATGCCCTCCCTACTGAAACTAAGAGCAACGCACCACTTGGGAGTCGATGGCGACCTGTGCAAAGCCTCTGCGTTTGCCCCAGAGGAGGGGGTAGGTCTCGTCACTGAACAGAGCCTCCCGCACTCCCCCTGGAGAAATCCCCAGCAGGTGGCCGTTCCTCAGAGCACGCACACACTCCTCCTGAGGGCCGTGGATCACACTGAACACCTCCAGCAGTAACTTGAAACCTGGAGGAACAGGACAGGATGGATTCATTAGAATAGGAACTAGCCGAAGAGAAGGGAAAACATTTGAGATAAAGCTGGTATTTAACAAAGTTACATAAAAAACAATCCCAACTGTACCCTAAAGTATTCCATTTTAGTGTACAATATTTCATTTTATATTATTTTGTATTTAACTTATTCCTACATTTCATATTGCACCAATATGGTTTTATACTATTTAAAGCTTGCACTATTTTAAATTGTTCTTGCACGTTTTATTTCTTAAGAGATGTAATGATATCAGTAGTAGCAGTACTTGTGAAGATTAGTACTGTATGTGTACATGTGTGTGTGTGTGTGTGTGTGTGGGTGTAACCGTGTGAGTACCTGGGATCTTGAAGAGCAGGTGGTCAGCGACAGAGTGGCAGGGCCTTCCCTTCTGCAGGATAACTTTTGCCAGGAAGTAGTAGTAGTCGATGGGAATGGCTCCATGATAGTACACTATCAGCGCTGGGCCTTTGTCCGGAATCTTCTCCATCCCATGGATCTCATAACCTGGAGCACAGGACAGAGTACATGAGGAACACATTTTATTCCGAGAAACGGAAGTGCTGAGGCTCTGACAGTTCAATACTTGGTTAAACATTTTTAAATGTAGGCTAATCAAAAAACATATTCACCAATTTGAAATCACATGTATATGATATAGAGTACAGGGCTGTATATGGTCAGTGTATGTTTTGGTCTTTGGATTTTCTTTTCAGAAAAGGATATTCAAAAACTAAAAACGAGTGGATATTTCATTTTTGTTTTAAAATAAAAAAAGTAATAATTGAAATACAAGGCGTTTCTCTTTTTCATGGTAAAAAAAAGGGATTTACTAAACTTAAAAACAGGATGATTTTAATTTTCTACTTCTCAAAACAAAAAAACCCACTAGTAAATAGAAACGAAAAAACCCCTGTTTTGTCATATTCTGCTACCGGAAGTTGTCTGACAAAATAAGAGCGCAGATGAGGAGGGTCCTGTGTCGGCCGTGATTCGGGGTTCCGTTGTCAAATCAGCCCGCGCCTAAAAAATGATATTAATTTAACCCTCACTATAGGTATCACTCTGGACATTTTTGTCCAAATGGGTAATTTTTCACATTTCATTTGCCAATAACTTTGGTTGTGTTACTGCAAATGGCATGATTTTGTAATGAGGCTATTTTCACCATACTTTGGAATTCCAATAAAACGTTTTTTTAATGGGTCTATAATTATCTGTGTAATAGAAGGTTCTCCCATCTCCACAGAGGAACACTGGAGCTCTGTCAGAGTGACCATCAGGTTCTTGGTCAACCCTCTGACTAAGGTCCTTCTCCCCCGATGTTCAGTTTGGTTTGGGCAGCAAGCTCTAGGAAGAGCCCTGGTGGTTTCAAACATCTTCCATTTGCAAATAATGGAGACCACTGCAGTGTTTCCCCTAGGATGGAGTCATAGCAGCGGTGGCACGCGGGCCTAGCAAAATGTGAGTGCGGAGCGAGTGGAATTTTTGTGTGTGCGTGCGAAGTGCGCCCCGCCAATATGCGCCGCTGCTAAATGTACAGTGCGGCAAAAAAGTATTTAGTCAGCCACCAATTGTGCAAGTTCTCCCACTTAAAAAGATGAGAGAGGCCTGTAATTTTCATCCTAGGTACACTTCAACTATGAGAGACAGAATGGGGGGAAAGAATCCAGGAAATCACTTTGTAGGATTTTTAATGAATGAATTGGTAAATTCCTCGGTAAAATAAGTATTTGGTCACCTACAAACAAACAAGATTTCTGGCTCTCACAGACCTGTAACTTCTTCTTTAAGAGCCTCCTCTGTCCTCCACTTGTTAACTGTATTAATGGCACCTGTTTGAACTCGTTATCAGTATAAAAGACACCTGTCCACAACCTCAAACAGTCACACTCCAAACTCCACTATGGCCAACACCAAAGAGCTGTCAAAGGACACCAGAAACAAAATTGTAGACCTGCAACAGGCTGGGAAGACTGAATCTGCAATAGGTAAGCAGCTTGGTGTGAAGAAATCAACTGTGGGAGCAATTATTAGAAAATGGAAGACCACTGATAATCTCCCTCGATTTGGGGCTCCACGCAAGATCTCACCCCGTGGGGTCAAAATGATCACAAGAACGGTGAGCAAAGATCCCAGAACCACACGGGGGGACCTAGTCAATGACCTGCAGAGAGCTGGGACCAAAGTAACAAAGGCTACCATCAGTAACACACTACGCCGCCAGGGACTCAAATCCTGCAGTGCCAGACGTGTCCCCCTGCTTAAGCCAGTACATGTCCAGGCCCGTCTGAAGTTTGCTAGAGAGCATTTAGATGATCCAGAAGAGGATTGGGAGAATGTCATATGGTCAGATGAAACCAAAATAGAACTTTTTGGTAAAAACTCAACTAGACGTGTTTGGAGGAGAAAGAATGCTGAGTTGCATCCAAAGAACACCTACTGTGAAACATGGGGGTGGAAACATCATGCTTTGGGGCTGTGTTTCTGCAAAGGGACCAGGACGACTGATCCGTGTAAAGGAAAGAATGAATGGGGCCATGTATCGTGAGATTTTGAGTGACAATCTCCTTCCATCAGCAAGGGCATTGAAGATGAAACGTGGCTGGGTCTTTCAGCATGACAATGATCCCAAACACACCGCCCGGGCAACGAAGGAGTGGCTTTATAAGAAGCATTTCAAGGTCCTGGAGTGGCCTAGCCAGTCTCCAGATCTCAACCCCATAGAACATCTTTGGAGGGAGTTGAAAGTCTGTGTTGCCCAGCGACAGCCCCAAAACATCACTGCTCTAGAGGAGATCTGCATGGAGGAATGGGCCAAAATACCAGCAACAGTGTGAGAAAACCTTGTGAAGACTTACAGAAAACGTTTGACCTCTGTCATTGCCAACAAAGGGTATATAACAAAGTATTGAGATGAACTTTTGTTATTGACCAAATACTTATTTTCCACCATCATTTGCAAATAAATTCTTTAAAAATCAGACAATGTGATTTCCTGGATTTGTTTTCTCATTTAGTCTCTCATAGTCATCCCTCACATACTTTTGTATGTATAATAACTTATATTTTGTTTTTCTTTTTATGCTGCTGCAACACAAACATTTCCCAAATTGGGATCAATAAAGTAATATCTTATCTTTAATAAATCTATTATAATAATTAGTGTAGCAGCTGACACCTATTTTCAATATGGATTAATCTACCATTTATTTCTTTAGTTCAATTTTGATCTATAAAAATGTCAAAATAGTGAAAATGTTCACGAGACTTATCAAAGTGCAAGGTTATATCTTTAGATGTTTTTTTTTTAGCCTATGTACTGTATGTCTTAATGCTCTTATATGCGACGGTGTGACTTCCATTAAACTAATATTTTATATGTTCCCAACAGACGAGCTGACAGGAAACCTAACACTCTAACAACCACAACATTGCAAAGGCGAGTAAATGTAAATGAAAAACGATTCAAAATTTCAATTTCAGTACTATATTTGAAAATGATAGATTTATGATCTTTTTCATCGAACATATGAACGACTCAAACAAGGATCGCAGCAGCTACAAGAAAGATCTTCAAAAAGGGAACCATAACATCCTGAAGCTGAGTTTTCTCTAAAAAAATTATTTAATTTTAACAGCAGTGCTCTCTGAACTCAGAACAAGTCAATTAATATGCCTTTTTGTTTTTCTGTCTTTTTCAGAAAATAACCACAACAGTGACAAAGGTGATTATTTCGGCAGTGCCAGCTTTGGAAGCATGTGGGCCTTGAAAAAGTCCTCGAGCCAACAGGTTAGGCTGCCAATTGTCATCTCGGGCTATCGGAATGATGACACTGTCTTTCGTAGTCCAGACCACAAAGTAGCAAGTCTCTCTTGCAGTGAGGTGAAGCCAAGCGGCAAACTCTGGGGAACAGCCGGGAAGCCAATACGGAAGTGCCACACACTGCAGTTCATACATGGGCCGCTAGGGACTGGCTGCAGAAAGGAGCAATTTCCATAGACCCCCATGTTAAAATGCCCAACTTTACAGCAGAAAAAAACATGTTTCTACCCATGGATGCAATAAATATTATTATCGATATAGTTAGATTCCACCTTCATGATTATGAATCTGTGAGTGAATTGTTTTCTAACACGACCCTTTTATTTATATTAGGTTTTAAAGTTTTTGCATAAATTAGGGCGTGGTCACTTTGATGGACATGTACATGCCTCACTGTCAGCTAACAGCAACTTGTCCACTCTGCTAGGCTACAACCATAGAGGCTACAACGTTAGTTAGTCATAGTACTGTACTGACCCTTTAGCTTTAGCCGTGTTCGTGGTGATTGTGCCTTTTAGGGAATATTGTTACAAATACCAGACAATTAAAATGTCGTGCTGTGCGCTTGAATGTACTAACAGAACTTCCAAGAAGTCTACAATGATAATATTATACATGTTAACCCCGTTCGCAGGTGTTTGTGTGCTTGGTAGCTTAGCTAGTTACTTATTAGCTAGCTAAGGACGTAACCCTTTATGCATACATATACATTTTAGTTTATGATTCAGCCTTGGGTAAGACTTTTATAGTCTATGGCTATGACGCCCATAATGCTAAATGGGAGCAAATGTTAATAGGGGACCCAATTATCCCAGTGGTGGCCGCCGGAGCTAACGGAGCCGCAGGGGGCTAGCTCCAGCCGGTGTCCCGGAGCTAGCCCACTGCGGCTCCGTTAGGTCTGGGCGGTGGAGTCCGTCGTTATAACTGGAGATCAAGGAATGCAGCGAAACGCAGACTTGGTTCGCCTGCTGTAGTATTAGCTAAATAAATTATGTTGAACAAGGCTTATTAAGCTGAACATCGCCACAATTGTTCTGCTATGTATCGGTACTTATTTTCTTAACGTGTGAATGACAAGCATTAAGAATAACAAAATATAGCTAATTCTCTTGCAGATTGTCTCATTTGATTATGAATGTAACGTTTATATAGGGGAACTACACTGTTAGCAGTAACTTGGTATGCATGTATTTCATGTTAGCTTAGCTTCTTAGCCTAAGCTAGCTCTGTTTACTTCCAGTTCGGAGGCAGCAGGCTCCACCTCGGCTCCGCCTCTTTGCCCTTATTTGGAGCAGGCGGGATTAGACTCTGACGTTGCTGTCAAGCTGTTAGTGGCCGACTCCGCCTACTAAGGGCTTCACGGCAACTCTGCAGAATCCTATGGGTGACGTCACGGACACTACGTCCATTTATATATACAGTCTATGGGTGAAGCTGACCTTGCACTTGGTGCCAGTAAGGATGTTCCTCACGCAGGCTGAATGTTTCGCCCTCCTTACTGACACAGAAGCCCTTGGTTTGCAACGCTTCACTAATTGTCATTTCCCTGGCTCCGTAGGGACACATTACCTCCAGCACAGCGTAAGACCCTACCAGACCATCTGGAGATGCCCCCAACAATCCTGATTGGGAGAGCCACAAACCTGACTCATGGACCTGCATCTGGGTTGCAGTGGTGAAT